CTGTTCTCAGGGTCTCCTTAGGGCTGCACACAAACATCCTGGGCACCTGTTCTCAGGGTCTCCTTAGGGCTGCGTCCCCAAACATCCTGGGCACCTGTTCTCAGGGTCTCCTTAGGGCTGCACACAAACATCCTGGGCACCTGTTCTCAGGGTCTCCTTAGGGCTGCGTCCCCAAACATCCTGGGCACCTGTTCTCAGGGTCTCCGAGGGCTGCGTCCCCAAACATCCTGGGCACCTGTTCTCAGGGTCTCCCGAGGGCTGTGTCCCCAAACATCCTGGGCACCTGTTCTCAGGGTCTCCCGAGGGCTGCACACAAACATCCTGGGCACCTGTTCTCAGGGTCTCCGAGGGCTGCGTCCCCAAACATCCTGGGCACCTGTTCTCAGGGTCTCCCGGGGGCTGCACCCAAACATCCTGGGCACCTGTCCTCAGGGTCTTCGAGGGCTGCGTCCCCAAACATCCTGGGCACCTGTTCTCAGGGTCTCCTTAGGGCTGCGTCCCCAAACATCCTGGGCACCTGTTCCAGGGTCTCCTTAGGGCTGCACCCAAACATCCTGGGCACCTGTTCTCAGGGTCTCCTTAGGGCTGCGTCCCCAAACATCCTGGGCACCTGTTCTCAGGGTCTCCTTAGGGCTGCACACAAACATCCTGGGCACCTGTTCTCAGGGTCTCCTTAGGGCTGCACACAAACATCCTGGGCACCTGTTCTCAGGGTCTCCTTAGGGCTGCGTCCCCAAACATCCTGGGCACCTGTTCTCAGGGTCTCCTTAGGGCTGCACCCAAACATCCTGGGCACCTGTTCTCAGGGTCTCCTTAGGGCTGCACCCAAACATCCTGGGCACCTGTTCTCAGGGTCTCCTTAGGGCTGCGTCCCCAAACATCCTGGGCACCTGTTCTCAGGGTCTCCTGGGGGCTGCACCCAAACATCCTGGGCACCTGTTCTCAGGGTCTCCCGGGGGCTGCACCCAAACATCCTGGGCACCTGTTCTCAGGGTCTCCTTAGGGCTGCGTCCCCAAACATCCTGGGCACCTGTTCTCAGGGTCTCCCGGGGGCTGCACCCAAACATCCTGTGCACCTGTTCTCAGGGTCTCCCGGGGGCTGCACCCAAACTTCCTGGGCACCTGTTCTCAGGGTCTCCCGGGGGCTGCACACAAACATCCTGGGCACCTGTTCTCAGGGTCTCCCGAGGGCTTCACGCAAACATCCTGGGCACCTGTTCTCACGGTCTCCCGAGGGCTGCACACAAACATCCTGGGCACCTGTTCTCAGGGTCTCCCGAGGGCTGCGTCACGAGACACGGGTACTCATATTTGACTCACAATGAATCTCTTCCAATATCTTAAAGTTTCACTCTTCTAGAAGCCAGGTCCTGTCCTTGGGGAGTTCCCACCCCCACAGTGTGGAAAAGGCAGCCAGGCAATCAGGATCCCCTTCCAGGCTGGGGAGAGCAGTGAGTGCCCTCTGCCCGTTACGGCGACCTTGCCTGGGCCAGGTGCTCAGGGGTCGGCCTTTTGTTGAAGAGCAACCTTGAGACAGGGATAGGCTGGCACCTGTGAGGGTCCCGGAGTCCCCCAGGAGCTGGCATAGAGGAGCTAGGACGAGAGTTATTTCTCCTTTTGATTGGCAGGTAGCAGGGAGAAGCCACTTCCACCCGGGTATGGATTTCCCAGAGCCGGTAAGGCTGATGCCGCCTGGGCTGTTTTTCCCCAGGCCTGCCTGCCTTTGCATATTCTCTCCTTAACTGGCTTGCTCTTGACGAACACCACAGACCAAGACAGCTCTCCCTCCCACCCCCAGGTCAGAAAGCACCGGGCCACTGGGACAATTAGCCCAAGGAGACCTGAGATATGTCCGAGAACCATTAGGCCGGGATGGCGCTAAGAGGCCAGTCGCTCTCATGGACCGCCTCCACGTGTTGGCAGAGGCCAGCTAGCCTCTGTTAAAAATAACTGCTTCAAAAGCAGCTGCAAACAGCCCAGGAAGCGCCCCCGCCCGCACAGGCCCCAAGCACAAGGACTTCCTCCTCGTGCTGGCAGCATCGGGCTAAGTGAGCCCCTCTTGCTGGGCCAGTGACCCGGAGGTCAGCATGGGCTGGCATCGGTGCGGAGGGTGGAACTGCTGCTGCCTGGCCAGAGTCAGGCCCCCTGCAGGTCCCACGGCCAGCTCCACAGCGGGGCCCAGGACTTGGGAGCTGGCACCGGCCTCCCTCCCCTGCCATTTAGGGGACCTGGCTGTGGCTGCGGCGCTCCCTTTCCTAGCCCTGGTCAGTCTCAGTGTGGAAGGAGTTATTAAGAAATTATTTTAGGCAGATAGAGACGAAAAGGGATCCTTGGGAAGTTTTTGTTTTCAAAGCAGCTCTTAGAGCCAGGCTGGCAAAGGCTGGCCATTAGAAACTGGGTCCACGCAAACATGGTGATTCCCGTGGCCTTTTTGCCCTTGCCCCACATGTTCCTGGCAGCATGGCCATCCCCACACACCCCCAGTAGCGTGGGACACCAAGTCCTTCATTTGCATATTAAAAGGCTAGGGTGAGGGCCAGCTTTTTCCCGGGGCTAGTGACTGACATGCCTGGTCAAAGCAATCCCCTGAGCCCTATGTAAATCAGACACTGCCTCCTCCAGCCTCTATACATACCTGGCTGGTATAGGCACCACTTGAGGTTCTTTCTCTTGGCTTTGGAGCCCCCACTCCCTCTGTCTCTGTACGGTGGCGCTTCTTCCTTCTTTCTTGCCTATTAAACTCTCCGCTCCTTAAAACTACTCCTCATGGGTTCGAGTCGTTTTTTCTAATTCAACTTGAGAGGAAGAACCTGGTGTAGAACCAGCTGTATCATCGGGAGACAGGCTGGTGTTCCCCGTGCACACATGCGAGCCACAACGTGTTTTGGTGGTCTCAGCATGAGAGGCTCCCCACTCAGGTCCCTTCCACAGGCCTTCGGTGGGCATGGAAGGATCTCATAAATGGTGCGGGTCCTGTGGTCACTTTGGGGTCACGGACTGTGGCTTGCTGAGGGGAGGGCTGCTGCCCCGCTCATCCCGGAGACCCAGGGCAGCCCCGGGGCAGCTTGTACAGTGAATCATGGAGCGCACCAGCCATTTGAGAGGATGATGGAATTCATAATGAGCCAGCTGGCTGCTGCCATCCTGGCCAAGCTCACAGAGGGATTTCATTGCATGACTCTTCTGCCACCGTGGAAGGCAGAAAAGGGCAGACTTCCCCTGGGGGCCCTCCCCTGCCCAAAGCAGAGCCACTAAGAGACCATCAGGGACACAGGTGGGAAGCCAGGGCCCCTGCCTGCCCCTGTGCAGGCCTCCAGCCCTGCCTGCTCTGCCGGCCAGCAGGGGAGCTGCCCTTCCAGGAGGGATCTGGATGCTGGGCATCCTGCAGCTTTGCCAGACGGGCCTACGTCTGAGTGCTGTCCCAAACCCCATGAGACACTCTGAACACCCCATTTTGTTCCCTGCAGGCACAGCTGCTCAAACAAAATCCCAGACCTGCTGCTACAGGACACTGGAGTCACTCAGGACCCCTAAGGTAGCATGCCTGGCGGACTGGATGAGGCGTGTGGGACACCCCACATTCGGGAGGAAGTGGGAGGCCAGGGGTTGCTGAGATGCACAGCAGGATGAGGACACAGCCTGATCTGCGGGCCTTAGGGGTGCCCTCGGTTCCCAGACTACCAGCCAGACCGGGCCACAGACCACCCTCGGGTCACAGAGCACAAGCCCGATGGGGCCTGCCCCAAATCACTAAGTTAACGGGAAAAGTCAAGCTGGGAACTGCTTAGGGCAAACCTGCCTCTGGTTCTATTCAAAGCCACCCCTCTGCTCATGGAGATAAATACATATCTGACTGCCTCCTTCGGAGAGGGTAACCAGAAGCTCAAAAGAAGGAGATCATTTGTCTCTGATCTCCCTATGATGACCTGCAAGCCCTTCCCACGCTTTGAGTCTTTCCACCTTTGCTTCGAGCTGTCCCACCTTTCCAGACCAAACCAATGTTCGCCTTGCAAGTGTTGATGGATGTCTCCTATCTGGCTAAAAGGTATAAAACCAAACTGTGCTCAGACCACCGTGGGCGCACGTCATCAGGACCTCCCGAGGCTGGGTCACAGCCATGCATCCTCAATCTTGGCAAAATAAACTTTCTGAATTAACTGAGACCGGTCTCAGATTTTCGGAGTTCACAGAGACGAGGGTGGTCTTAGGGACTGTTTGGGACCCCCTCACACTGTAGGGGTCCTGGAGTTATCAAATGAACAAAAAGGTCAGCAGGCCAGTCAACGAAGACTCTTAGATGCCTCTTTGCTATGTGCACCCCAAAATTTATGTTGGGAACTCCGTGTCCCTTGCGGCAGACTCCCTGGGCAACGGAGTGAGACTGCCTTAGAAAAGAAAGTAATAGATGTCCCTTATTAAAAATTATAGAAACCTTTTAAAAAGCATAAATAAACATAGAAGCATTTCTAATCTCTCAACCACTTCTTGTTGGCTGCCTTCTAGCCCAGGAGTACCTGTAAACGGAAGGGGTCCAGTGTGTGCACACTTTGGGAAGTGCTTATTCAGGAGGCTCTGCCTACATGAACGGATTGATGCTGTGGGAGTGGGTTCGTTATCTCGGGAGTTTGGCCCCCTCTTCTTTGTTCATGAGCTCTCACCCTCTCTCCATCTCCTGCCAGGGGTGGCTCTCACCAGATGCCAGCACCATGCTCTTGGATTTCCCCACCTCCAGAACCATGAGCTGAATTAATTTCTTTTTAAACAGATTACCTAGCCTGCAGCATTCTGTGATATAAACAGAAAACAAAGATGCTCTTATTCCATCTGCGTTATTGCTCAGCAGTCTACCTGTTTAGCCCTTCCCACCTCCTTGCCCCCATCCTGCCACCCGTGGGACTGGACATTGAGCCTGTAGAACCTGGTCAGTGTCCTCTTCACTGAACAAAGTTTGTGTGGGAGCAGTGAAGAGTACATCAGAGACACCAGTAGATGCCACCAACCTTGTTTCTGTCTTCAGTTCTGGCTGCTTGTCGACACGCCGGATGCCAGATGGAGGAACCTGTTGACAAATTCCCAACAGGGAAATGATTAGCGTTATTTCCCACATTGCAGGGGCCTGCGTGGAAACACGGTGTAGGGAGCTGGTCCAGGCACAGACATACACTCGGACTCCACCCTCCAAGCGGCCCTGCGCATCCTCTCTGTGCTGGAGCTAGTGCCGGGCAGGGGGTGCCTAGATCACAGTCCCTGCCCCCAGGGGCTCAGAGCCCAATTGTGGGATGGAGGCAGGAAACAGGCAGGGAAACGCACTGCTGTGCACTAACTGCTTCCTGAGTCATGAGGAGCCTGGGGGGCAGACATCCCACCCAGCCTGGGGCAGCTGGAAGATTCTTCTCTGAGGAGTGGGTATTTGAAGTGGTTGCAAGTCCAGAGAGGAGGCTCCCTGGCTAGGATGTAGGATTGGCTGCCTGCATGTTGAGGGCAATGGTGGGGCCGGCCTGCAGACAGCTGAGGCTGCAACCTGGGTGGGAGCCAGCCTTGGGGAGAGGACTTTGGGAACAGGGCTCTAAGCTGAGAGGTGGGAAGAGAGAACCTCAGCTGGGAAGTGGGCCTGCTCCTTAGGGTATGGGGTATGTTCGGTGGGAGCTGGGCATAAGGCTCAAACTGGGCACAAGGCTCACCCCACCCTGTCACTAACTTACTCAGTCTCCAAGCCTTCTCGTGTCTCAGTTTCTCTAGCTGTCAGCTCTGTCCAGCCACCCAGGTCAATAGCCACTCTCATCAACACAACAAGGTCACCCAGCACCGAGTACCCCTGACATCCCTGGCACCCTGGTCTCTTCTCTAATCCAACCTCTACCTGCCCCAGGTCTTTGGTATTTTTCCACCTAAGAATAGAGCTAGTAAGAATTCCACCTTGTCAGGTCACTGGGTGAATTAAGTAAAATTAAGCAGAGGTAATAAAGTATCAGAAAAGTGCTTTGCTGTATACAAATGTTAGTTGCATTAGTGCAATCCTTCTTGTGCATGGGTGACTCAGTAAATGTCAGCTCTCCCTGCCCACCTTCCCATCCTTCAGGACCTGGCACACTTGCTCCTTCTGGGGCCTCCCTGAACCTCAGCCTGACCCACTTGCATGGCTGTGTCTCCATCTCTCACCTGCTGCTCCCATGAAGGTGAGGGCTGTGGCTGACTCGCGTTTCCTACAAACAAGCCACACAGGCTGGCACATAGACAGGGTTGAAAAGCGTGTGTGGAATGAAGAAACTTATCCCATCTCCTGCCTACAAAGCCTTCTGGGTCATTTGGATTTCACAATATCTCCTTTCTGGGGACACAGCAGCAACTCAGAACTCTGAGAGATGGTGATTGGATTATATATGTGTGTGAGTATACATAAAGCATTTCTTGTTTATAAGTTTAAAAACTGTTGTGACCATAAAGTAATAGGGCCAGGCACGGTGGCTCACACCTATAATCCCAGCACTTTGGGAGGCCAAGGTAGGCAGATCACCTGAGATCAGGAGTTCAAGATCAGGCTGGCCAACGTGGCAAAACCCCTATCAAAAACACAAAATTTAGTCAGGCATTCTGGTGGGCACCTATAATCCCAGGTACTCAGGAGGCTGAGGCAGGAGAATCGCTTGAACCTGGGAGGTGCAGGTTGCTGAGACTGTACCACTGCATTACAGCCTGGGCAATAGAGCAAGACTCCGTCTTAAAAAAAAAAGTATAAATAAAATGAAAATCACTTCTAATCTCTCAGTCACTGCCTTCTAGTAGAGGTGTACCCATAAATAGAAGGGATTCAGCGCATATACACAATTTCTCTCTCCTCTCCTGTCCTCTCCTCCTTCCTTCCTTCTTTTCTTTTTGAGACGGGGTCTCACTCTGTCACCCAGCCGGGCACGCAGTGGTGCAAGCACAGCCCACTGCAGACCCCACACCTCCTGGGCTCAAGTAATCCTCCCACCTCAGCCTCCCAAGTAACTGAGACTACAGGCAAATGCCACCATGCCCGGCTAATTTTTCATTTTTTTTGTACAGACTGGGTGTCACTATGCTACCCAGGCTAGTCTTGAACTCTTGGGCTCAAGCGGTCTGCTTGCCTCAGCCTCCCAAAGTGCTGGGATTACAGGTGTGAGCCACCACACCCAGCCTACAGACACAATTTCATATCCTACATATTTCCTCAAAATATCTTGAACATTTCTTCATTAAATTAAATATCCAAACATGCAACTTTAAGGGCTACGGAATATGGATAGACAAGAATGTTATCTCTCTACTCCTCTCCTGATCTTTCTTTTCTTTTTTTAAGACAGAGTCTCATTCTGTTTTCCAGGCTGGAGTGCAGTGGTGCGATCTCAGCTCACTGCAACCTCCACCTCCCAGGTTCAAGACACTCTTGTGTCTCAGTCTCCTGAGTAGCTGGGACTACAGGCATGCGTCACCACAACCAGTTTTAGCAGAGACGGGTTCGGGTTCGCTGTGCTGGCCAGGCTGGTTGTGAACTCCTGACCTCATGTGATCCGCCCACATCGGCCTCCCAAAGTGCTGGGATCACAGGCCTGAGCCCCTGCACCAGCCTCCTCTCCTGATCTTTCTCATGCGTTATTAATTTCTAAATGACAGTTCAGGGGCTCCACTGCACACAACTGGCACATATTCCCAGAAATGGAGTCTTGGCTCCATGAGTGGGGTCATGTTTAAGGCTCCTGAGATTTTTCTGGCAACTTCCCAATTTTCACCCCTATCAGCTGCATAAGAACTCTCACCAACATGGGGCTCACCTTCCTTTTCATCTTTGTCAGTGCAGTGAGAAAAACGAGTATCTCATTATTTTAATATGGGCACCTTAACAATTAGTGGGATCTAACGCCCCCCCGCCAATGTTTTCGGGAAAGTCCATGGCAGGAGCAGTGGTGGCACTGGGGGGGGTTGGGCTGCCTCGTCGCCAGGAGACCATGGGGGTCTCTGGGACCCATGCTTTTCAGAGCTTTTATTGCAGCAGGATTTGTCTGCCAGATAATATCTGCACAGAGCCCTGTCATCCCTGGAGGCCACACAGAGGGTCTCAGGAGGACCAGGCAGGGTGGGGGCCCCAAGGAAGCCTGTGCCAGGGAGCAGAGCCTGAAAGCCGCACAGCTGGTCTGACCTGTCATCATTCAGACTGAGAAATCCAAGTCTGGAGAGGGGATGGGCCTGGGTTTGACATCCCACAGAACCTCACAGCAGAAGCAAGGGCTGGCCTCAGCCAGTCCTGAAGGGTGCCTTTGTTCCTGAGATGAGGTTACCCCTGATGTGAACTTGTATCCCCCAGCTGCCATCCCAAGGCCATTGTGCTCAGTGTCCGCCAGGCCCCGCTGTCTAAGGGCACCCTTTACTGTGGTGGCCAAGCCCCATGCAGAGCAAGTCCCCCACCCGGACAGCCTGGCACTGCTGGGATGGTCCCAAAGGACCCTTTGATGGGCTCTAGAGCAGAGACTCAAGGAACAGGTGACCCCGGGGATGAGGCTATCCTGTCTGACGTCACCTTGCTGGATTCAGCCTGAGAAAGGGAGGCCTGTGTGACCCACGGCCTGGTGATGATGGCCGCATGAGGTCATTCAGCAGCCTGCAGGGGCCTGCACGACAGCAGTCTCTCTGACTCAGCTGGGCCCAGCTGGCCTCTGGGAGCAGTGGAGACAGAGAATCTTCAAGAGGGAGTTGTGGCTAAAGAGACCAAGTCTCAATACCAGATCCCCCCTCACCAGGACCCCTCTGCCCCATCCAGTCCACCATCAGGCCTGGGGGCTGCACTCCAACACACAGCCCCTGTCCCACCAGTGCCCCTGCGACCTCTGCACCCTCTTCTCAACTAGGCCTCCACCATGCCACAGGCCACCATCAACCTCACAACCCATGCAGTCTCAGTTTCAGCGAGAATCCTGCAAAATCAGTTTGGCAGGAATCCCTGGGCCTAGAAGCTTCATCTCCCTCCACTTCTGATGGGTTCCTCATCCCTTCTTTGAAGTCTCAGTTTCAGCGAGAATCCTGCAAAATCAGTTTGGCAGGAATCCCTGGGCCTAGAAGCTTCATCTCCCTCCACTTCTGATGAGTTCCTCATCCCTTCCTTGAAGTCTCAGTCTTTACCCCGTCTTTAGCGAGCGTCTCGTGGGGTCAGTTCAGCAAGAAGTCCAGTACCTCCAGCGACTTTCCACCCGCTGCCCCACCCCTGCTCATGGGCTGCAATCCCACTGTCTGCCATTCAGAATCTCACCCCCTCTCTTTTCCATTGCGATGGTCCTGACTCCTGTTACAAAGTCCAGAAGTATCTTCCTTACTGGTTTTAACGAGGGCCAGAAGAATTTTCTGTAGCAGGGAGGGCTCAGGGAATGAATAAGCAATACGTAGCGGGGTGGTCAGCGTGATAAGATGAAGCGCAACTCTAGGAGCCAATCTGCAAGGACCGTGACGGGGCTCAGAACATGCCGCCCCAAACAGGACGAGGAGGCCAGAATGTGCCACCCCTGGCATGCCCCTCTTGATTATTTTGACTTGATTACTGGGGGAAACGGCAGACTCAGAAAAGCACCGAAAACCGAGTAGAAGTGACCATTTTATAAGGGGAATCGAGATCTCCAAAAGGAGCCTCCATCTCTAAGGGTGTCTCCTCTCTGCACCAAGAAGATGAGGATGACCATGAAGAGTCCCTGGGGTCTCTTCTCCAAGGAGAAGATGCGCAGTACCGCCCCCCTTGCCTAAGGTCCCCTCCTGTCCTGTCTCGACATAACTGTGCCTCCCCACATTCTTTCTTCTTTGTTGTAGGGAATGCGGTTGTCTCAGCCTGAGGTCAAAGCTGCCTCTCTGATGGCTGGGCATGGTATCTCACACCTGTAATCTCAGCACTTTGGGAGGCCAAGGTGGGCACATTGCCTGAGGTCAGGAGTTCGAGACCAGCCTGACCAACATGGTGAAACTCCATCTCTACTAAAAATACAAAAAGAATTAGCCAGGTATGCTGGCACATGCCTGTAGTCCCAGCTACAGGGACTACAAGAATCACCTGAACCCGGGAGACGGAGGTTGCAGTGAGCCAAGTTCTTGCCTCTGTACTCTAGCCTGGGCAAGACAGCAAGACTTTGTCTCAAAAAAACAAAAACAAGAAAAACCCCAAAGCTGCCTCTTGGAGATCTGCCCCTGCATGTCCTCATTTCTCTGGGCTACCTCTGGAGCATACACGAGGTGCATGTGTCAATAAGTTTCTGTTCATCCTTCTCTTGTTAATCTGCCTTTTGCTACAGGGATCTGCCCCAACTAAGAACTATAAAAGGTAGAAAATCACATTTCTTCCCCCTACGAGAGTCATTGCTTCCCTCCTCTGCTGCCACTGGGCTCCTGCACTGTGAAGATATAAAGGATAGCCGAATGCCGCCATCGGAAGGTTGATTTAATTGTGAAAATGAGAAGCAGTGAGTGAAACAGGATTGGTCTGGGAGGAGGAGAGGCAGCCAGCCTTCAAGCCTTGCTCTGTCTTCAGTCTGGCACCCCACAGGACAGCCCCGCTTTGTGATAACAGTGATTCTGTCTTTTTTTTTTTTTTTATTATTAGATGGAGTTTTGCTCTGTTGCACAGGCTGGAGTGCAGTGGAGTGGTCTCAGCTTACTGTAACCTCTGTCTCCCAGGTTCAAGCAATTCCCTGCCTCAGCCTCCCACGTAGCTGGGATTACAGGTGCCTGCCATCATGCCCAACTAATTTTTGTACCTTTAGGAGAGACGGGGTTTCACCATTTTGGCCAGGCTGGTCTTGAACTCCTGACCTTGTGATCCACCTGCCTCGGCCTCATAAAGTGCTGGGATTATTAGGCATGAGCCACTGCACCTGGCTGATAGCAGTGATTTTTTTAACGGCTTGGGGCATTTTCCACGAGGCCCGTTAGAAATCCGCTAAGTTTCCCTCCAAACTCTCCTTTCGCCAATGCTCGGTGGGGCTGGCTCCCCGCTTGCTCCTGGAAGAAAACCTCTGGCCCTGCCAGTGGCCCTCAGGACCTTGCTACCAACCTCTTTTGCGGACAGAGGGGTCACAGCAGGCTGGGGTGGCTGGGGCAGGAAACACCTCAAACTCCTCATCTGGACTCCCTGAGCAGGGGCGGCTTTCTAGCAGGGGCCCAACGTGGCCATGGATGCTAACAGGCTGCATTTGCTTAAGCTGTGCTACTTGGAGCCAAGCAGCCAGCACTTCCGGGTTCTGGTCTTTGGTCCGGCCCTTTTCCTCTCCTGCTGGTCTCGGGCTCGCTGAGATCATTGGACAGGCAAGGCGGGCTGAGGAGGCCGTCCTGGCATGTGCCCCACCCTGCCTTGACAGCTCCCCACTGTGGCTGGGCTGCTCGTGACCTAGCGAGATGACGCCGTAACCAACCCGTTCACACCCAGCACGAGGTGTGGACCTCTTAAGAGCAGTTCCTTGCCCTAGGGGACCAAACAGCACAGTTTGTGTTTTACCTTGAAGATACATCTCTTCGCCTTCTGCAAACATCTGACCGCACCTGACGCATAGCGCGCAGGAAGGGTGGTAGTGCTTCTCCCCAGCCTGTGAAGGAAGCACAGCGCAGAACGTTTCTACCAAAGCTGGGACTGTTGGCTGGGTCACAGCACCCGGCATGGACTCAGCACGCCCTGTGCACAGGTACGCAGGGGATACCGGAAGGGCCAGCCCCCACCCTCGGAACCCAAGACCCCTGAGCAAAGCCTGGACCCAGGGGGTGCCCTCAGGCTGTCCAAGGTACCCCACGGGGAGGCACGGGGAGTCCAGGCTGCACTTGCCCACCCTGCTCAGGTGGGCTGCTCCCTACCAGGGCAGTTCATGAGGGGTCAGCCTCCTCCACCACGAGGAGCAGTTTTAAGGAGTGGAGAGTTTAATCGGCAGGAAAGAAGGAAAAGGGCGGAGGGAGGGGAGGGAAAGAGAACACATTCCCAGGTGCAGGAATTAGAGGAGCGGGGTAGAAAGGATCGATTCTTTCCTCTTCATGTCTCTGTACCGCTCAGTGTGCTCAACAAGCATTTTGTTTTTATCATTCTTAAAATGTATTAAATTAGATTACAAACAGCAATACTGAAGCAACCCAAATCAGTTACATTGTCTGGTGTGGCTTATTTTTGCAAAAACAATAAACAAAAACCAAAAAACTCCCCCAAATGCTGCATTCACCAGCACACTAGAGCCCCACTTCCCACCCGAGGGCCCCACTTCCCACCCGAGGGCAAGGCGCAGCGGCCTGCTGCTGAACCCTGCTACACCTCTTTCCTGAAATGGGAAGAGCTTTCCTAATCCCCACCTACATTTGAATTTATAATAACTAGTTTCCTGAATCAGTAAGGGCTGAAATGTCATTTTTGAGCATCCAGTTTTCCTGTCCTGTGCCTTCCCTGGGATGAAAACAGCCCCAAGGCAGCCCCTGTGTATTGGGAGGAAGAGCCCAGAGAATTAGGCGGAGGACAAAGCACAAGGCAGAACAAGGGCCTGGCACCTGGACCACTTCAGGGAGCACCAGGTGCGGGGATCTCTCTGACAGCCGGTCATGCCTCAGAAATGTCGGCTGGTCACAGCGCCCGGCATGGACTCAGCACGCCCCGCGCACCGGTACACAGGGGATACTGGAAGGGCCAGTCCCCACAATCAGGACCCGTATTTGTCTCAGTGAGCAGAGATCACGACACTGCTCTCCAGCCTGAGTGACAGAGCAAAACTCCATCTCAAGGCTTTTCTCCTGCACACGGCCTGGTGTGGCCTACTCTGCCAGCCTCCAGGCCAGGTGACAAGGCCACGAATGTCTTCCGGCAAAGGGGCCCTTCCCCTAGGTGAGGAGGCTGACTTCAGTCCTGCCTGCCCTCCAGGGCCCAGGCCTCGGCACCAGCTGGCCCCTCCATGGAGCAGCACCCCGACTCCGCTGCCCCTGGCCCCCTGACTGCCATCTCAGCCTACACGCCACCTCCCCTCGGGAGCTTTCCCTGATGCTTCCCTAATCTGGGTGTTCACAGCCCCATTTCCACACTGTTTGGTGATTACTTGGGTGTATTCTCCCCCACTAGACGGCCAGCCTCTCAAGCGCAGGGCCTGGCACCTGGGCTACTTCAGGGAGCACCAGGTGCGGGAATCTCTCTGGACAGCCGGTCATGCCTCAGCATCTGCCCACCCGCCCAGGGTGTGGGTGAAACGATTGTTTGACTGATCACAATTATTAACATGCCCAGTGGTCTGAGTAGCACTCTTAAGTGTACATCAGAGATCGAGACAGCGCTGCATTTTTAAAAATAAAAGTCACCAGGTATCAACATCACAGTTGTCAACTGCAGGCTCACTGCATTCATAAGGAGTATTGCTGAGTTTGTGACCTGTGACCCGTCCTCACACCTGCCGAATCCAGGTGTCTCTGCTTCACAGACTTCCTCTAACAGCAGGAGTTTGGTGGCAGCCACAGGGGACAGGAAGCAACCCTGCAGGTCACACCAACCCTGCTGTCTACATGGTGCGCCCACGTGGGCATCAATGGAGAAGGCTGCTAGGACAGTTTCTAAGGCGACGGGCTTGAGCCCTCCACAGCGGCAGTGGCTACACCTCCATAGCTCATTCCATAGCTTGTCACATACTTTGAGTCCTTGTGGCAGTGCTATGGGTACTGTTACTCTCATTTACCATCAAGAGGCACAGAGAGGCGGAAGAGCTTGAGCAAGGTCACACAGCGGCAGGTGGCGGAGCTGCAGTGAACAGAGCTTATGTCGTGCCTTGCAGGCTCTCAACACACAGCCTGGCCGTCCCCGAGTCCTGGCACAGATCCTAGGCCCAGGGTGTGGACCCCCTCTTCACATGCTCCCCGCTACAGCTTGACTGTTTGTCCCCTTCAAAACTCATGTTGCAATCTAATCCCTAGTGTGGCAGTATTGAGAGCTGGGCCATTAAGAGGGGAGTGGACCGTGAAAGCCCTGTCCTCAGGATGGACGGATCCATTCATGGACTAATAGGCCATTGTGGGAGCGGGACTGGTGGCTCGAAGAGAGGAAAGGTCTGAGCCAGCCAGCACACTCTGCCCCTCGCCACGGGATGCCCTGCGTCCTCTCAAGGCTCTGCAGAAAGTTCCCACCAACCACAGGATGCGCCCCCTCCGCCCCGGACTTCGCAGCCTCCATCACTGTAGGAAATCGATCCTTTTCTCTGTAAATTACCCAGGAGTTTCAGGCATTCTGTTACATGTCACGGGAAGGGACTAACACACACTGCACCCTCACGTCCTGAACGAAGAGCACGGAGGATGCTGGTGAACTGATCGAAGCCAAGGAAGTCGGACACAAGAGAACAGGCCCCAGGTTTATGATGTTCAGAAGCAGGCAAAGCCATCTACATAACTAGAGTGCCCTCGGGGACTCATGGGGGAGCCTGGGGCACTAGCCCTGTTCTCTTTCTTGACTTGGCACCAGTGACATGTGTCCAGTTTGGAAAGATGTATCAAGATGCACAGGTATAATGCATGCACCCCTCTGTGTGCATTACAAGCCAACAAAGTAGTGAGCCAACACTGAAAACTGATCAGAAGGAAACGTGCTGTTAAGGGGCCAGGCGCGGTGGCTCATGTCTGTAAATCCCAGTGCTTTCAGAGGCTGAGGCAAGAGGATCACTTGAGGCCAGTTCAGGACCAGCCTGGGCAACATAGTGAGACCCAGTTTCTACAAAAAAATGTAAAAATTAGCCAGGCATGATGGCTCGTGCCTGTAGTCCCAGCTACTCAGGAGGCTGAGGCGGGAGGATCCTCTGAGCCCAGGAGTTCTAAGTTACTGTGAGCTCTGATCACGCCACTGCACTCCAGCCTGGGTGACACAGTGAAACCCAGACTCTTAAAGAAATATATATATATATATATTTTTTTTTTTTGAGACAGAGTTTCGCTCTTGTTACCCGGGCTGGAGTGCAATGGCATGATCTTGGCTCACCGCAACCTCCGCCTCCTGGGTTCAAGCAATTCTCCTGCCTCAGCCTCCCGAGTAGCTGGGACTACAGGTGCGCACCACCATGCCCAGCTAATTTTTGTATTTTTAGTAGAGACGTGGTTTCACCTTGTTGACCAGGATGGTCTCGATCTCTTGACCTCGTGATCCACCCGCCTCGGCCTCCCAAAGTGCTGGGATTATAGGTGTGAGCCACCGTGCCTGGCCCCTTAAAGAAATATTTTTAAAAGGTGGGCAAAGGACTCCAGTAGACACTTCTGAAATATATAGAAATGGCAGCTGGTACATGATCACTGTCATTGAGAAAATACAGATCAAAACCACGGGAGACATCCCTTCATACCCATGAGGGTAGCTACAGTAACATCACAGAAAGGAAAATCAAGGTGTCGGTGAGGATGTGGAGAAACAGGACCCTCCCGCACTGCTGATGGGGATACAGCGGTGCAGCTACTGTGGAAAATGGTTTTTCGGTTAAGAAGTTAAACACAGCATTACCAGGAGCCAGAAAATTCACTTCTTGGCATTTAAGGAAAAGAGAAGAGAATTGGAGAAGGGAAAACTTGGCCGGGCGAGGTGGCTCAAGCCTGTAATCCCAGCACTTTGGAGGCTGAGGTAGGCAGATCACCTGAGGTCAGGAGTTCAAGACCAGCCTGACCAACATGGTGAAACCTAGACTCTACTAAAAATAAAAAAATTAGCTGGGCATGGAGGCGGGTACCTGTAGTCCCAGCTACTTGGGAGGCTGAGGCAGGAGAATCGCTTGAACCTGGGAGGTGGAGGTTGCACTGAAATGAGATCACACCACTGCACTCCAGCCTGGGTGACAGAGCAAGACTCTGTCAAAAAAAAAAAAAAAGAAAGAAAACAGGTCCACACAAAAAGCTGTACGTGATGTTCAGCAGCATTCTATATAACAAGCAAAGGGTAGGAACAGCCCCAGCGTCCACCATGGAAGAAGAAATTGTGGTGTATCCACGTCAGGGAGTGTCATTCAGCCACGGACAGGAATGAAAATGCTGATCCTGCTACACGTGGACGAGCTCTGGAAACGTGCGCAGTGAAGGAAGCCAGACTCGCAGCCACGGGGAAGAGGACTCTGGAACATCCAGAGCAGGCGACTCCATGGAGACAGAAGCAGGTGAGCGGCTGCCGGGGGCTGGGGAGGAGGGAATAGGGAGTGACTGCCTATGGGGGTGAGGTTTCCTCTCAGTATGACGAGAAAGTTCTGGAATTAGAGCAAACTGGAAGCTGTGCAACATTGTGAGTGCACCAAATGCCACTGAACATTTTAAATGGTGATTGTATGTTACATGAATGTCACTTCAATTTTTTTTTTTGTTCGTTTCTTCTTTTGAGACGGGGTCTCGCTCTGTTGCCCAGGCTGGAGTGCAGTGATGAGATCTCAGCTCACTGCAACCTCCACCTCCCGGGTTCAAGAGATTCTCCTGCCTCAGCCCCATGAGTAGCTGGGATTACAGGTGCGCACCACCACACCTGGCTAGGGAGTGACTGCCTATGGGGCTGAGGTTTTTGTATTCTTAGTAGAGACGGGGTTTCACCATGTTGGCCAGGCTGGTCTCCAACTCTTGA